GAACCGATCCTGCACTGCTATAGGCCAAACTTAATTCTGTAATGCAAGTCTTCAGCACTTCGCTTGCTTTTGGATCACTTGCTAGTTGGTAGAGATCAGCAATGCACCTTAGGAAGTTCTCATAATGTAGAGAGGGCGTCACCTACAATCATTTTGATAAAATTTCTACTAGAAGCTGAGGCAAAACTCGCCTGCTGTCCAGTTTCGGCTACCTCATCTACCCACGTAAGTTCGTCCTCAGAGTTTCGCTCAATCTCCATGAGCTGAATGAGTTCATTAGAGGCATCAAGTTTACAATTATTAAAAAACCACCTTAAAATAGAATGATCATATACTAAATTCTCAAAGATGGATTAAAAAAATACGAAAAAAGGCTGTTAAATAACAACCATTTGATAATCACCAAAAAACTGACTGAAGCTTACCTTTGCCGGAAATAAGGCAATTATTTGTTTCAGCAATGTATCCACCACACGTACATGTGTGCTACACATTTTGAATGAATCAGATCTATAAGTGTAAATCAAATAATAAGTACGATATCAGGAAATCAAGACTGTTGAAAAGAACAGGAGTTATAAGAGCGCTAGCATCCAATTGGAATAAAACAGATTTCAGATTGCCACTATAAAGTGGATCTGAGCAATAAAAAAAGGTTTTAATTTTTTCCGATATGATTTGACACCAAATGATTACAGATACTTGCATAAAATGTTAGATTTAATATTGATAGTATTGATAGATGGAAACCAAACCGCTGGAGAGTAAACTATTACGGAACGTACCCGATAATACCATGGCGAATGAACACCAATGCCAAATTTTTGATCGCTCGATCAACCACTTTATCCACGTTTACTTCCACATTTGTTATGTCTGTGATACTAATTAAATTTAATGCCTTAGTTATGATTAAAACAACTTACTTAAATGATCCGCCGGGCTCACCGCAAGAGCTCGAAGGGCCACGGCACATGCAAGTTGTACTGTACCACAAACGGATTGATCACTCCAAACTGTTTCATTCCGTATCTCTTTCACGAGATTTGAAAGTACAGCTGCTGCAGAGGTAG